CATTGTAATAAAGCAGTGTTTTGTTTAAACTGTCAAGATGAATTAATATTAGTATTTTTAACAACACTAGAAACAGAAATACTAAAATCACATCACAGTTAACAGCCAAGACTTTATAGAATTCAATAAACTTTGAATATCGATCATAATTGATAAGAAATTAATTCAATGTTGCCCACAGAATGCTTAAAAAAAATTGTACAATGTCAAAGCCTCGTATCTCCGAGGAAAGTGGAAAAATATTTAAGTGCAAAACCACGTATCTTGATTTAACATCAAAATAAGGGTTTTATCCGAAACATAATCTGGTTTCAACTCATTATGCAATAATGTAAAGTACCATTCAAGGCGTAATCTATAGACATACAATCTGAAAGATGATTTACAAACCCTAAAATGACAACAAGGCGGGAAGGGGGTATTTTGGTTGATTTCACTGTGGGCCAAATTGGGGCTATTTACACAATAATAACAATTTGTAAACCGAAGTACCTTACAGTTGCTTGTAATACATTCTAAAGATATTAATTGTACACTAAATATTAAGTGTTTCACTTACATTAGTGGATTCTTCTTCTGTGCACCGTCCCAGTTTTTCAAACACATGGATATTTGTAAAGACAAAACCTTGTAACTTAAGATACGAGGTTTTAGCTTTATAAATTATCATCCTCATGGCTATGTGTAAAGACAAAACCTCGTAACTTAAGATACGAGGTTTTAGCTTTATAAATTATCATCCTATGAAATACGAGGAAAATGTCATGTGGTTTCTCAACATGTTCTGATTGGACTAGAGATAAGTGTTTTATACACATTATGAAGCAAGGCGGGAAGAGTATGTTGGTGCAAAAAAATCATTTTGGCCAAAAACCGAGATACGAGGTCTTGACTCTTGGCCGACGATATATTACTGATTTGGTGGAAAATATCGGGAAATGCAATAAAACATTTCATGTTGAATTGGTTGTAAGTTGAATTTAATAAAGTTCGTATAGTCAAAAAAAAAGAAATTGTGAATATTTCATTTAACTGCTGAAACACAAGTTACAATACCATAACCTCATTAAGTTATTCCAATTAAGAGGATCAAATGTAAAGTATTATTTATAAAAGATACAAATAATAGTAAAAAAAAAATAATTAATTCGCATGCAAGATTTAAAGGTTCAGGATGAATAACTGAGGAGGGGAACCTAAATCGGATCGCTAAAAAAATTACTTTTAAATCTTAATTGGTTCAACAGTTCATGTTTTCATATGATGTTGACTTAGAATGTATGATCATGCAACAATCTATGTCAATAATTAATTAACTTTCGATTTCAAATAAAACCGGAATACGCATTGAAAACGGGAAAAAGTCATTTGTAAAAATGGCGCGTGAGGCCGAGGACTATCGCTTCTGTTTCTGATAAATGGAATAAATTCAAGCAATTATCCATGGACAAACTTCTTGTCATGCCAATTCCAGAGTTAAGGAACGAGACAATATATATATTACCGGGATACGACCGGTAATGAATTTGTTACTAAACATTATCGCATGTCCTGTGTTCTTAATAAAATAAAATAAATCCTTGGCCCATGCCTACAGTTGAGATAAAAAAGCAAATGTCCCATTACAAGAGAATAAAAAATGTCATAAAGAAAAGTTATCTCAACATAAAAAGGGTTTATTTACAAGTGTTCTTACATCTCTGAAAAGAATTGAAAACATGATAATCAAGTATCTGAACACGTTCCATATCTGACACATATTCTACATGTACACGTAGTGGCTTTGCCAGAAATGTTTATTGTGTGTGATGACTAAATGTCTTACTTAGTGTTTATTGTGTGTGATGACTAAATGACTTACTAAGTGTTTATTGTGTGTGATGACTAAATGTCTTACTAAGTGTTAACGTTTGAAGACAATGAATTAAGGAAAGCGAGTATACGTAAATGAATAATGCGAAAAATTTGGTCAAAGGCATTGAGTTAAAATGAAAAAGCTCTTAAACATTTCTCTTTCTTTTTTGCCAATTCATACATACACTTGATGAAAACATTTGAAAACGTGTATTCGTTTCATGAATATTCCTTTTTACAGAAAGCTTTGTGCCATGGTTAAGGGAACGTGTTTAGCTCCGTACCCATTTGTACTCGCCTCATTCCGGTAATATATATTTCCTTGCGTCTATATATGATGCGGAGATGCCAACAAATATTTCTTCATTTGGATATTGGCATGTGGGCAATTAACGTTTGGTGATGAATAATTACTGCTAAAGAGGGTCAGTAAGTTGCAACACGGACTTCGAATCTTATTCATTGGTTGCATAGTGCGGTAGGAAGTTACCCGGCGGCCCCTCTCTTGTGGCCCCTTTGCAAATTTTGTATCTCGGTCAGATTGCGTTATCAGCGCTGTTTATAACAGGGCTTTCCCGAACAATTTAAGTCGTCAAACTGGACATTTGGAACGGACTATGAATATGGGGATAGCAAGGTAACATAAGTGAAGTGCATACAACACATACTTTAATTAAAAACAAAAATACCTCTTCACGTGATGTCCCTTTAATAAACAAGCATCGATGAACCTTTCGCTTACAGCTACATAAACCTGGTGGGGGGATGCAAAAAGCCTGATCCATCAAGTTTATAACAGACTCTGGTAGTTTAATGACATTTTTTGTCTTGTCATAAAATTTAAACTGAATCGATTTTCATATAAGGTGGGAATATACATTGTACTTATTAACTGAAGTCATATTTTTACCAGTGTACATATTTTTGAAATTAATTAACCACGTGAGTAGTCTTGTATGTATTACTTTAACCATACTAATGTAGACTAATGGAACTGGACTGAGTCATTTGCCGGCCACCGGGTAGCTCAGTTGGTGCTATTAGTAGAGCATTCATCTACAGTTCAGAGTGTTCTGGATTCGAATCCCAGCCTGGTAGTGCATTTCTCTCTCCTGATACATGTTGAGCCTCACCAAATAGACCCAAACAAAGTGGTAGAGGTCAAGTGATGTGAGTGTTTGGGGTCATAAACTTCAGTAAGGAAGGTAGGAATATTATCGTTGCAGAACTGGGCTGTGTTGTTCACCGGTGACCAGGTAGCCGTTAGAAAGTCGAGGGTTTTAATCCTGGTCTGGCCGTGCATTTTTAATTTTCCTCTCCTGTTGCTAAGATAAATGTATCATTATTTGGGGAAATTTGGTCAGGAGAGCTTGTTTACATATGTGATATATACAGTATATGTTGATTACAGCACCTTAACATATCTAAATGTGCAGAAATTGGGGAGGGGAAAGGGGTGTAAAATTGATGAAATTATGACATACATCGATAAATTGGGTATTCATTGATCCAAAGCCGCCTGAATTATCACCAACAGCTGCAACATTTTACCTGTAGTGTCCTGGGTGACAACTAAAAAACATCAATCTCGGGCTAACATTATATAAATTTACATTCATTAGAGTGTGACAGTGGCTAGGGTTACCCCGATGTTATCACTGATATCCGAGGGGTGATCCTATCAAGACAATCAAGGATATCATCAATCTGATTAAAATCATATGTTACATGGCTTCGTTAACTTCGGACTACGCCTAAACATCTGAGTGTGCCGCGGTCAGGGTCACGCTCAGGTGACCTTTATATTTATAAATAGTCATTAAATTTTGACCAATCAGAGACCCTCTTTCCAAAGGGCGCTCGGAGTTGTAACAAATATGGCGGACATTGATCTTCTTGATCTTGATCTTGATAGGTATACGGTGACACATCCAAGGATATTATTAAACCGCGCGTGTGTCAAGTACTTTACTTAAGTGGGACCCCCCTTACGATATCACTGAAAGTTTTAGCTGGTTCTTTAGCTGTTTTGATTTTGGTGAAAATATCCGGTGGTAGTAGGTTCCAATCTTTAATTGTGTTTGGTATGAAGCTGAATTTTAAAGTGTCTGACTTTGTTTGCAATCTCAGGTAATGTTGGCTATGCATGTTCTTGGTCGTCCTAGATGGTTCTTTCAATTGATCAGATGGTAAGTTGGCTTGACCGTGTATGCCTTTGCAGAAGAGGATAAGTCTGTTTTGAGTTCGGCGATCTTTTAGGGATGGTAGTTGCAGCTGGTCTAAAATTGCTGTCATACTACCTGGGTCGTAGTTGTAGTTTGATGTTATGAACCTTGCCGCTCTTTTTTGTACATTTTCCAGCTGATCTTGAAGATATATTTGGTGTGGGTCCCAGGCAGTGCTCGCATATTCGAGGACAGGTCGTATGAGTCCTTTATATGCCTGGAGTTTAACTTCAAGTGGACATGATTGAAGATTTCTTTTCAATAATCCTAATGTCCTGTAAGATTTGTTGCATATCTCATCTATGTGTTTTCCCCAGTGTAGGTCATTGGTAATGTTGACTCCTAGGTATTTGATAGATGTTAAGAATTGGAGTTTGGTATCTTTTAATGTATATTCGAATGATGTTGTCTTCTTCTTGCGGCTCAATGTCATCATGTTGCATTTAATTGGTTGAAATCTCATACCCCAATTATTAGCCCAGTTACCAAGAGTGTCAATATCTTTCTGTAGTTCTGCACAGTCATCTTCGTTTTTTATTTCTCTGTAGCATACACAGTCGTCTGCGAACAGCCTAATTTCAGATGTTACATTATCTGCTATATCGTTGATATTGACTAGAAATAGGATGGGACAAAGAACTGTTCCTTGAGGTACTCCTGATAGTACTGTTGATGTTTCAGGTTTAATTCCGTTCACTACAACGCACTGAGATCTTTTAGATAGGAAGGCGTTAATCCAATTCAAGATATTTTTCGGCACACCATATTTGTGAAGTTTACTATTTAAAAGCTCATGTGGTACAGTGTCAAATGCTTTTTCAAAGTCCAAAATAAATATATCAGTTTGCTTCCTGTTGTCAATTGCAGTTGCCCAGTCGTGATGAGAATGATGCGAAAGTTCTGAAGTTATTTGAGATTGATCGTCTGAAACCCGGACAGAAAATGACATTCGAAGCTTTAGTAGAGAAGAAAGACTGTATGGCGGTGTTGCCTACGCAATTGTTACCCAATGGGTACATTTTTCTTGGCGTCGTAGAACGTCAGTTCCCGCCGCCATATTTGTTTTGGAAAACTAATATGTTCGATACACCTCGCTATTTATCTATCAACCATGATATTCCGATTCGCTGGCAAACTTTTGCCAACGCGCCTCTGATTGGTTTATCTAAAGGACACTTGAACGTGACCCTGACCGCGGCACATTCAGATGTAACAGATGATTTTAATCAGAGTGGGATATCATCCGTCGGATTGGAGATTTCCCTGTCATAACCTCAATGCACGAGATGATTATATTAATCATCTATTATAATCTGTGTCTTAAGTCGTAAATGACTAATATACTTTTCTGGATTTGACAGGAGATTTGACCGTGCAACATTTGGTGCAGGATACGCCATTCCGGAACCTTTGGTGTCGACTTCATTCATTATCGGATTAATGACCCTAACGATTGAAAGTCATCAGTCGGATATTGTAAAAATAGAGTCATATTGCTAGACAATAACACCCTTAAGAAGAGAACTATTTTTTTCGGTTGAGATTCTAGAAACAGGAAAAGTACAAAGAGTGAACCTGTACAGACTATAGCAAGATATACGATAACATGTTAGAATGAGACAACGAAGTGCGAGAAAGAACGGGGGTGGGGTGGGGGGTGGGTGTATGAAAAAAGTTCGGACCCTGCAATATGATTGTGCTTTCAGGCGTTTTGTGGATAAGTCACTTTTCAAAACTTGTCGCCGCAAATTTTGATGAGCAAGCTAAAGACGTCAGTTCGTCTGGGCGTTTGATCTGAGTAGGATAATAAAAGGAATAAGCATGTTCATGATAAAGACTTTTTAAAAATGGCAGCTGCGACGAATTTGATGAGTAAATGTCGGGCAAAGCCTTAAAAGAGCATAGCTTTTGTTGATCTCTGATATTTACTGATTCAGAATACTGCTTTCAGAATGTGATAAGATAAACTGTATCTAAAGTCAAAAAGTTGATGAATAACAATAAAACACAAGCTCTAATGAGATTAACGACATAACAATAGGGGAGACCGGGCAAGTTTGGCCTTTTTTTTTTTTTTTTTTTTTTATTAAAGTCCGTTCTAGGAAGTATAGCAGCACGTCCGTTTTTGAACATTATTTATTTTTTCTGTCGGAAGATCGGATGGCCGAACGAGCCCCGCCATGGGGTTAGTTCGGACAGGCATTCGGGTAAGTTCGACCATCATTTGAACCAGCTTAATTATGACGTCATAAAGCATGCAACATTAGATTTTTAGCGCCAATTTTACGACGTTTTATGTGTTAACTACAAGGCAGACCTTGTCACGGTATTATTGGCCTGAACCTGTTCAGGCCCAAATTGATATTTCAATAAATTCTTATCGTAAAGTAATATGGTAGTGAGTGATTGGCTTGGCTTTTATGTATCATCATTTGAAGCTGTCAGTGTGTTACACGATTCCGTTTCAAAAAGTTCGCATAACTAGAAGCGAGATCATGATTTTCTTTCTACCCTCTCAAAAGTAATTTTCTCCTGTTAAGTAATGTTATATTAAAGTTTTCCTCGACATTTTTTCGTTCAATGCCCAGTCAACTAAACTGCTAAGATCCTTAAAGATGTAAATATTAGCTCAAAAACAAAAATATCAGGGGTGGCCGAACTTGCCCCGGTTAACCGTATGCAGATTTTTGTATCATTGATGATTGGTAAAAAAATGTATTCACAGTATATTTTTTTTCTTGCAGTCAAAGCTAAAGTAGATATTAATTCTTGTGCGTAACGTATAAGATAGGTCGGGTAGCGCAGTCCTGGTCACCTGCCCGACCACGCGGGTTTTCTCCGGATACTCCAGCTTCCTCCCACATTAAGAATTAAATCCTCTGCGTGCTTCCATCAGGGCACTAAAAGACTGATTGAGGTAAGTTTGGGAAAAAACTGTTTGGTAATTGCTGTAATACTTTAATGTAACCGAGATCGTCGTTATATCGATATGTAGTCTCAATTACTGTTCCATCCTGAAACACCGTATTGAATATCAAATTTTATAACGATGCCAAATAGAATTTAACAGTTTCTGTCTGTTACTAGTTATAAATCGGCACGCGTTGTGAAAAAGTAATACCTTGTTGAAAAAGGGCGTTGAACTCGGGTTGGTTGTCTGGAAAATTATTGTTAATTTCGTCAAACATGCATAAACCATTGTTTCTTTTACGAGTGGTGGTGCATAAATTAATTATGTAAAGTCTATAACCAGACTTTCAAAAATGTTAAATTTTTCGTTCATATTCTCAACAAATGGAAATCAAAAACTGATGAAATTTTTAGATGATGAAAACATAAATGTACACGTTGACTTATTGGGTTAATGCCGGCTCTTTTTGATATCTCCTGGTAGAAATATTAACAGAACCTGGTTGATGACAAAAAGGATCCCCGGAAAATATCCCCATTTTTGCTTTTTGTGCCAGTGACAAAAACTGAAATACAAACAAATCTTAAAGCGCCGACAAAGACGCAACGGACATCAGAATTTACCGGTTATTTTTCATCATTCCGGAAATAACCGATGAAGGCCGATGGATTGTTGCGTGTTTGTGACGTCATAGTATGATAATCTCCGAACGAATTTTCATGCCTGTTACATTTAGTATCAGCTTTTATGTGATAGACCCTTTGATTCAGAATGTACATTAGTTTTTATCTCAATAAACAAGTAATAAAACACGAAGATTGTTTTCACTATATGAAGATGTTCATGTATGAGTTGATACACAGTTGTCTTTGCTTCAAGGATACACTTCCTGTTTCCCAACTGGACGTCTACTTCAGGACGAAAAAAAAAGGCAAGGTGTAGTAAGGGAAAGCAACTATGTTTACGCACGCATTTGTTACCATTAAATAGCTTCGCTACGCTCTTATTATGTATAATTTGTATATGGAAGTCATTTTCGGACATCAAATGTATACATATATTACACAATTTTTCGTCACATGGTGTATCTCACTGCGAAATAATACAGTATTTATGTAAAGAAGCAGGTCCTCATCATCTACAGCACAAATGTGATTATCAACTGCGTAAATTCAGAACTTGCGAAAATATTAGTTGGACGATCACTTTGAATACAAGGATTTGTTGAAGGCCGAATAACATGGAGAAAAAAAACCTTCTGAAGTTCGTCCTGGGAAAAAATGAAATAATCATGCTAAACGTTGTTTTTTTCATTTCTAATTCAAATTCAATACGGTGATTTGATATTATTTCAAAATTAAAGGAAGTTTAATATCTATTCGTTTCTCGGCAAAATTATGTTGATACATCTTTTTTCAATACGTCGACATACGTAGCACGTATATCAATGCTGTATATGTACTGAAATTATTTTATATTTTATTTCAAATGTAAGGACCATAACCTTATTTCAGGTCTGACCGAATTTTATTTTGATTAATAATGCATTTACTTATCCAACATATAACACTACGGGATGTTTTTATGTTTTTGTCAGGCGGGAAAATAAAATTGCAGAATTATCTAAGTCGACGTGTCGGGTCATAACCCAATATAACGTATTCCGACAAAAACAATTCGCACTTTTAATAAGGCTTGATAACCGTGTAAATATACGTGTTTTCGTATATGTAATACCAATCATATGTACATGTATTTGTATTGTTTTACGGTCCATCGACAATTCGAGTCATTTAGGGCCAAACAATACGTTAAAATAGGCAATCACAAAACTGAATACATCAAACTAGAAATAAGAAGGTGTAAATGGCGTAAAAGAGTAAGAATAAATCAACAGTGAACGAATCGGTTGTAAATCCTATCAGATCATATCATAAAGTTCAATTGAGTGTAAATAATCACATATTGATTGAACAGAAACGGTATCAAATACACGTTTTATACACGATACATTATAGAATCTGTCACGTTTTTGTTTGAAATGAGCGCATTCAATCATAAAATGTTTGACTGTAAATGGCTGATCACATGCATGACAATAAGGTTGCTCTTCTTTATGTTTGTGATGTACCAACCATATGCTTCAGATGTTAATGTAGTATATGTATGAAAAGTGTGGTAGTGAAAGATTTAATTTTGACAGTCAAAACAATTAAAAACATGCGTTGTGAAGTTGAATATGTAAGAAGTGTTATTCCACATCTGGTAGGTTCAGGGCAAATATATAATATTTGGAAAATACGCTCTTTTACGTTCAGCATTTCAAGTTACCACAACAACCGGTTTACCCGTTGTCAGTATATATGTAAAATGCCCGAGTGGAACACGGTGCTTGGTGCCTTTTCGGCATCAGATCATTAACATACTCTGCCCCCAGCACACATCCGAACAAGTACGCTTAAGTGACCTTAGCTGTTAATAGTACGTTAAACAAAATGAAACCAAACCAATCTTATTTCAATTTGTTTAGTGCTTTAAACACCAAGCAAAACAAAAATCCTCTATGCTGAATCGAAAGGCTGGTGAAAGACGGTTGGCTCATCAGTCAGTGTTTAATGAAATTTTGACATGGGTTAAGCGGGATAACTCGTCAAAATGTTTTGTACTCAATTTCGCAAAAAGTTTCTAAAGATTTACTGGTTTAAGGGAAACCTGTATTTTGCATTCCTAATAATATGATCAAGAATGTTGTCCTGGTCAGTGACTCGTGGCTGTTTGTAGTTAACAGGTCTTTATGAGATCATTGTCATATACGGATTGTGTACCAGCGAATGTTATAAAGCGGAATAACTCGTCTGGTCTCTTTCGAAATCACTGTCCATGAGAAGTCTAATTTTTCGGCAGAGTCGATTAAAATCGAATTGATATTCACTTTGGAACACCCCGCTAATATTTCATTTGCTAGCTTGTGCCTACCTTACTTCATTTGCCAGTTAATTGGTTGATAACAAAAAATACGATATAAAATAAAAAGCGAAACGGATTTTGGTTTTAAGCGAGTTTTTATGATAAGTGTCTTCTAAATTTACATACAAGAAAGTATGTCAATTTTGCGAAACTAGCGCTATCACCATATACTAAATGCACTAAAACAGATCATTTGTAGTTTTGGTTACCAATCGTGTGTGTATTGAAACACATACGAGCAGAATATTGTGGTTTAACAGAACAAGAGGCCAAAAAGATATGTTAAAAGAACTTGATATGAGGTAGACATATAGCACATCATGGTAGGAACTGTATGTACATATGAGATTTCAGAGAGATTCATCCAGTATTTCTGGAGATATAGCGAGAAAAAACTTCAAGATGGCGGCTTGGTAGCATACACCCTAATGTTTAAAGGCACTGCTAGACAACTTGATGGAGACATAATTGTAATAATGACCTGTTATTCCTATGATATTTCAAAGGTTTTATCTCTATTTTCCCTATTTGGCCCCGCTCCACACCCCCTATCAGGGCCGTTTAAACAAAATTGAGTGTCCTTGGCCTAAATATGTTCCAGACCAAATTGAGATGAAATCCCTTTATCCCTATGGCAGGAGAAGAATTTTAAAGGTATATCTCTATTTCCCTTATTCGGCCCCACCCCACTACCCCCAGGGGGTCACACTCACTGTTTGTACACTATTTGAGTCCAATAGGTCCAATGATGCTGTAGAATAAATATGGAAGAACTCACTGAACCCCTCCGCTAGTAGGTGGATTTTAAATGTTTTACCTCTATTTCCCCTATTGGGCCCCACTACCCGTACATGTAGGGGGTCACACCCACCGTTTATACAAAATTGAGTGCCCTTCGCCAAAGGGTGCTTTCGAACCCAACAGAAAAGAAATGCGCTAAGATTATTTTATCTAAAAATTTAACCACAATACATGATCTGATTAATACTGTCTAGTGTTAAGACTACATTTAAGAAACGAAATTTAATACTCTTAAAGTGAGTTTCTATATCAAAGTACGTTACCACAGTCATTATAATGCATATTTCAACCCTACTTGGCTCTTTACATACGTAAAATAACGAATGTTCCCCCCTGGAGAACCCATGGAAATCCCCGCCAATCAGACGGCAGTATTCACGCACGTGATCAGCCACGAAGCCATGCTTCCCACTTCATGATTCCTACAGCCTTCCGTGTTTACGGTCGTGTTTTGGCTCTCTTACGTTCCTTGGGATTCCGAACTACATCAGGCTTTGTTTGTCCCGACTTTATTTTATATCCTTTGTATACTGTCACATAATTTTGTTTAATATATGCGTTTTACTTTATTTTTGCGCCGTTTTGCGACAAGAATCCGCCCACGTGTTCGCGGTGTTTACATTAAAATGGATACACCTCCTTCGCAAGGACGCTGTCCTGGGGGTAATTTTTTCGATGCCTCCGACCCCACCCGTATTGTCCGAGCTGTCCGTCTTGCTCTCTGGAGCAGCCCTGCGACATTTGTCGTGCCTTGCAGCCGACTCCTGCCCACAACCAAATACATGATCTGTTTAATACTGTCTTTTGTTAAGGGTACATTGAAGAACGAAATTGTATACTCTTAAAGTCAGTATCTGTGTTATCGCAAGGTGGTACATCAATATTCCCTACCTCCAGCGCACACACACCCAAGCACGCATACATAACACACATAGAGAAATGTCATAAAATGACGTCAGCTGTTGAGAGGAAGTTTAAAATAAAAACAAACCAAAGCATTTGCATCCTTG